GTATTTTATTGCATTTCTCAACTGGAATGTTATATCAGAATTATTAATAATGTTTTTGTCCTTCTAGATTATGAAATGCCTGCTGACAGTGCGGTTTATCTATGCAGTTACACAGAACTATACTCAAACTGTGATCGCTCGCGGAGATAATAAATAATTTCCATAGAGTTCTATTTATTTAGATGATTCTTGGCGAAATAATGGTTATATAGTAAATGTTAATACAATTTAGGGTGTTTTAAACAAGTGAATCTTGTTAAAAGTTATACGCGGTGGCCGTGCTGGAGCATTTCCTGAGCATCAACCACATCAACCCGGTGAGTGAACAGCAATATGAAAGCGGCTTCACGAGACTAATCATGAGCAAATATACAACAGAGAGAGAATTAAATTCAGTGCTTTTATTTTCAACATGCGCTCATTCATGGCTGTATTATTTAACTCGTGCAAATTTATGTCTTTATTGGGAGAGGATCTTGACTGATTATCTACGATGTGACTCCGACTTCACGAGACTAACGATGAGCATAGACAACAGAGAGAGAATTTATTTCAGCGCTTTTATTTCCAACATGCGCTCATTCATGGCTACATATTATTTAATTCAGGCAAAGTTACGTCTTTATTGCGACAGGACTTGATGGATTATTTTACATTACTCTGCGAGTAGGTCTCTATTTCTTAGAGCCAAGCTGCATAAACTACATATCAGGCATTTATGTAATGCATCTAATTTGTGCATAAATGGCTGTTATGTTAAATAAAGTTTACTAACTACAGCAGATAAAGTACCTGCACGCCGTTGTTGTTTGCTTGTCTCCCCTCAGTTTGCAATGTCGATCCTGTGCGCAATTCTCAAAACACCCACAAGATGGCGGCGTTTATCGGTGAATCCGATATTACAAAACCGATATCCGATCTCGATCTCTAGTTGGCATGCTACGGTAGCCAACAGAGCCATGGAGACCAGAGAGTGGCTAAAGATGCCCACCTGCATCCAAACATTCACAGCATTTAGCACTAATATTCTATGTGTGTGTTCTCAGCGCACCATGCATGCAACAGCCTATTGGCTAATTCTTTAACTGTGCCTACTGTTTTGGGACAACAAACAGACTGTTTTTAGAAGGAGATAAGAACATTTTTGCAAAAAGACATAAAAAACCTGATTCAGTAATCTAAAATAGCAACAGCTCTTTCTATTGTTCACAATGACTGAATCAATTTGAACGAGACAACATTCCAGCTATGTTAAAGGCCTTATCAGTACTAAAAATTAAAGATGAGGTTGGCAGAGCTTCTTGCTGTCACATCTCATGGATGAAAAATGCTAATTTTCAGGATGTGAAGGACAATCTTCCTTGTTTGTTTTCATCCATAGCATTTCATGTTTTGAGACTTAAGCGGCATTAACATCCAATCCACAAGGATACAAACAGCAGAAACGGCAGTGTCGCCAGTTGTGCATTTAATTCCCTTCACTGCATAGACAACCCAGAGGGAAACATTACAAGGCTTTGCCAACTAACAAATGCCTGCAAAATGTCAGCTACGTATTGCAAATTACTGAGCAAACCCTCAGTGGCACCATCTCAGCTAACATAACTGTTTAAAACTGAAATGTCTTTGATGTCTGCTTGAAAATTAGGCATAAACTGAAGAATGAATGGTTATAAACCTAACATTGGTTGGGCTCCCCCCTGGGTGCATTGCCTCATATGTTGGCAAACTTTCACATGACCTTCTAAATCAGAAACAGTTAGCATCTACTAATTAATAATTTTCATAATACTAATTATTAATAATCAGCTATTCCTTCTATATTATTAAATAATATATTATTTATATATTAAAAGTAAAAGTCCAAAATAATTCAAGACCTGCCAACATTTGGCTTATACTGTATGTGATAATTAAATCAATATTGCACTCCATCTCACACATCATTTAACTGAAGAAAAAAAAAAAACTGTAAAAAAAATAATAAAATCAGCAAGGAGGGGGATAAAAAAAAGATTAGTTTTTAATAAAGAACTGTCATGAGTTCCAAGCGAGTCCATTTCTAAATTGAGTCTATTTTGGTTTCAGGTAACATTTACAGGTACATCCGTTTTAATGTTCAGTCTGTCTCTCTCATAGGACTTAACACCCACTTAACATCGCTTCAGAGCTGTTTCTGCCAGTGATTATTTCAAATAACTTCACTCAGCACAATGACTCTGCACAATAATCACTCAAAGACAGTATAGGCTTGATTAAACAAACCAACAAAATGATGTTCAGAGGTAAGAATATGCAGTGCTCTCATAACAAAGGCTTATTTCAGATTAACATACTAGCATGCTACTCATACAGTTTCTGCAGTATGTAGTACAGTATGTACAGTATGCAGAATGTGCATTTTCTGAATTTATGGAATACCCAGGTGACCTACCACATGTACAGCATACAACACATACTGCGTGAAATACTGCAATGCCTCCAATTTCCAATGTGATGAATGAATTAGAAATAAAATCAGTAGTGATTTATAATAACTATTTTGACTCATTATTTGAATAGACTGACAAACCTTACAACATTTTACACAATACTTATTTCTAAATAACCATATTTATTTATTAGAATGATAACTGGATGCAACATGAATTCACGTAGCAACAATGCAGCATAGACATAGATGTATGCATAATAGTACAGGTGCATCTCAATAAATTAGAATGTCGTGGAAAAGTTCATTTATTTCAGTAATTCAACTCAAATTGTGAAACTCGTGTATTAAATAAATTCAGTGCACACAGACTGAAGTAGTTTAAGTCTTTGGTTCTTTTAATTGTGATGATTTTGGCTCACATTTAACAAAAACCACACGACATTCTAATTTATTGAGATGCACCTGTATATTCCGTTTCAATTTTTCTTTTCTTTTTTTTTTAAATAGTTAATTCTGTAAAAATTGACCCCAGTGTACTTTGCTAATATGAAGGAATTTTCTGTGTTGATTTTTTAAATTGTGCATTGCTCTGTGTTGTGTTTTATAGTTTAAGGAAATTTCCGTAAACTTAACGGATAATGTACATGCAGAAAATGACTACTTTTTCAGTTTTTCTAAAGACTTTTTTTTCATACATTGTATGCAATATACAGCATGGACTATGCAGTATTCAATAAATAAAATATTCCATAAACATACCAATTAAAACTTACTATAAATACTATGGCAATTTGGGAATTTGATATTCAACACTCCATTAGTGGACATTCTGGTTTCCAATAATAAATATCATACCCAAACAGGCAAGTGGTTGATTCTTGTATCAGCATCTGACATTTTAAGCATAAGGATGTGGATCAGATTTTAAGATTACATGCAAGCTCATGTGTTTCACATGCTTGACTGCTTTGCTATCATGCTATGAGCGAAACTGACGGTAAAACCTAGAGGGAGGAAAATGTTAAACTGCTTGCATGTAATATGGATCAGATTATGGGAGGTTCATTCACTGCTACAACAGAAAAATCCAAGCTAAATCCAGACCATTGACGCATATTAACTTTTCAGATCTCTTAGCGTGGGGGGAAAGGGTTTAAAACTGATTTGTTTGGCGAAGCGATGCGCAAAGGCATTAAAGAGACACAGAGGCGAGTAATATGCTAAACGGCATAAAGACTCTGGGAGCGCATGACACTAAGGAGCCTCAGTCTATCTGAGCTGTCCAGATCTAAATTGCTCTGCAAGAGCAAGCAGATCTCATGTCCTTGAAACCTTGTCCTTTCTGTGCATATGAAGAAAGAGAGCAGGGGGTCGCATCATGCGAGAGAGGGTTTTTGGAGGAGCCGGGTGCATGCGTTTACGACTGTATAAGAGAATGGGAATATGGGCCTGGCTGACAGGGCTTGCCCAACTCCCTTGTGTACAGCTGGGCTGTTTGCTATGTGGATGATAAGCACCACAATGATGGGGGAAGGCAGCCTAGTGCTTCTAATGCATTTTAATAAGGCTCCTGAAAAGACACGGCTCTCAGTCTTTCAGTGGCTTTCTTCTCCGATGAGTCCCTTCAGGATAACCAAGGAGATTCCCTACTCAGCTCCCTGCCCACGACAGAAAACTTTCGGGCTAAAGATACACAATCATTATGCCTCTTCGATTCTTCTGCCCGACTGCCCGTCCTTCTTGCTTCTCAATAACGTCTCCTGCTAAATTTTGTAATTACCTTGTGACCAAGACCTTGGGTCATTTTGTACTAATTTCTGTGCTGATTTTTAATTTGGTTGTTGTACACACACTTCAGACTTTTTTTAACATCTTGTGCCACAAGCATCTTGCTGTTCTATTGCATAAACTGTTGATTTGCTCTGCATGCTTAGTTAACATCCTTCATCGTTTCCAAACAAAGTGTTGAGTACTGATTTAAAAGCACTGGCACACATTGCATCCTGATAAAAACCACCAGGCAGGTACCATCAAAAATGACACTGCAACCAATAAAAATTAGTTCTCAGAAAAGTGGTTTCATGATTGATTATTGCTGTCACTCCTGAGTACTAATACTCATCCTTACCTGTGACATGTCAAGTTAGATGAACCAACTTTATTTCACAATTATTTATGTATTGCTGGTGACAAACCTTCTACCGAGTGCATAAGAATGTCAGAGATAATAAGAAACTGTCAGTCCAATGGAAAATAATCATTCTGGAATCACAGAATTGAATGTTATTGGTATGACAGGTTTTAATCTAATCTATGCTCATTTGAAAAAAAAAAAATATATATATATATATATATGGTGAACGTGATTTCACCAAGTACAACATGTTCCTGGATCAACATATATAGTGTGTGTGTTAAGTGTCTTCAGCTACTGTAATAACTAATTCTAAATATAATAACTAATAACTAATTAATTTAACCATTTGATGCAATGCATTTATTGTGTACATACATTTTTACACTCTAAAGACACCTAATATAGAGAGGAATGGAGAAACAAAATCATAAATCCTTTTTTAAAATTCCTAACTCTTACATAATGCACAATAAAACAGCTACTTCTAATTCCAAACAATATCAATCTAGGTCTTCTTTTATTTGCCTCTTATGTTCTATAAATCATCATAGGCTAGCTAAGCAGGCTCCAGAATTATATTGGTTCACCTATTGTTATTACCCTTAATAAGCTGCATGCTGATTGATATAGTAAGCACTGAAGCAGGCAAATGTCTTCAGCATCCCTCTGTTCCTCAGGGACAGATGAAGAATGGGTCTGAAAGAGCTTTTCAGTGGGGGTTACAGGAAACAATGTCACTCTGCCTCCTGGGAGAAGGACTCTACGTAACACTGCAGAGCTGGGTTGAGGACAGCAAAATGACAAAATACTGGAGCAGGCAAAGGACAGGGTGCAAATCAAAAAGCAGAAATATACATATATGAATGAGTTTGCTTATGGAAATTGAGTCTATTGCGATAGCTATGAGATTTCTGTTCCAACATAAACAGACGATGAGGAAGAATGATCCAAAATACTTTTACTGATGCTTTTGATGATAACATCAACCCTTAAATGCTGTGACTGCTGGGCACAATGCAGGCAGTGAATTCAATATGAAATGCCATTCGCTATCAGATTTAATGTGAAATGCATCTTTCTTTACTGAAAGTGTAAAAAGTGTGAAATAGACTAATGTTTTTTTCTTGACTGTTGCCTTGTATGTCACAGTACAGGACATGATAGTCACTGGCAAAGGGCTTGGGACTGTGCATGTTCTTGAGGTGCCATCACCCAATCAGTCTAAGGGGCCGTTTACACGACAACGTTTTCAGCCAAAAACAGGAAACTTTTTATGCGCTTTGCCTGTTCGTTTTTACACGACAACGGCGTTTTGGGGACTGAAAACGCATATTTTTGAAAACGGGTTTCAAAGTGCAAGTTTTTGAAAACGCCACCATTATCGTTTCCGTGTAAACACCCAATACGGGAATCTTTGAAAACGGTGACGTCATGCGCGTATGTAGTACGTGTTAGGTATGAAGATATGCACAGTCAAGCGCGAACAAACATACACAACAATGGCGGAGTATATGATACTGTTGTTGCTGTTTAAGAGTTTGCTAACGCTTCTTCAGCAAAGTGTGGATTTACTTCACCAATATTACAACCAACAGCGGAGATGCATCATATACAACATATAATCATCACTTCCCTACAGGTACTGTTTACTAACAAGGTGACAGCGCCAACTACTGGCCTGGCATACCAAGTTTTTGAAAACGCCACCATTATCGTTTCCGTGTAAACACCCAATACGGGAATCTTTGAAAACGGTGACGTCATGCGCGTATGTAGTACGTGTTAGGTATGAAGATATGCACAGTCAAGCGCGAACAAACATACACAACAATGGCGGAGTATATGATACTGTTGTTGCTGTTTAAGAGTTTGCTAACGCTTCTTCAGCAAAGTGTGGATTTACTTCACCAATATTACAACCAACAGCGGAGATGCATCATATACAACATATAATCATCACTTCCCTACAGGTACTGTTTACTAACAAGGTGACAGCGCCAACTACTGGCCTGGCATACATAATGCAGCATTTTTGGCCGTTTTCGCGGATATGTGTAAACGCGAATCGTTTTGAAAATGTTGTCGTGTATACATGAACCTTTTTAAAAACGCAAGGGAAAAACTTTTCAGTTTTTAACTACATCGTTGTCATGTAAACGTAGCCTAATTCTTCTACTTGTCTTCTTTACCCAGTTCTCACCTGGGGTCCTGCGTCAGCCTAGCAACCGCCATTGACATAAATGGAAATGTTAACTAATAGCTTTCACCATGTATTATAGAACTCGTCAGTGATGTCAACTAAAAAGTTTGAAGACAGAACGTTACTATATTTTACTTTAGTTATATCAATATTACATTTATAATAAGTTACTATATTAATATTACATTTATTTAAAGATCTGACTTCATCTTGACTTTTTAACTCATCAAACTTGTTATTTTGCCTTTTTTAACGAATTCTCAAAATATTCATATGACATGTAGGGAACGCCTGGTTAAACAGTGTTTTAGATTGGGTTATGATGTCTCAGAGGATTCAGACCTGATCTATGTAGTTTTAAGAATGACTGGCAGGCACCCTGTCCTTGACAAAAACAAAAAAAAAAAGATTGACCAATGTAACGGTCAGTCAGAATGCATTTACACTGGGAAAAAAAAAAGGTTAAAAAAAGGTTAGCTTTCTCTCTAGCATTGTTTATCCATAGTGGTGACATTGCATCCAGTGCTGTCCCTCCAGATTTGCCCTTTGCATCTCATTTTATTTCTAACATTATTAAAATTATTAAAATTCCACTCTTTTTAGTGTTCCAGCAATGATGACATGATATAATTTATTTTGGCCTGATGATTCAAGCAGATCTGACTCACTTGAGTGCAAATCATTCAATAGTTGTAACAAGCACTCAAATGATCAAATAAATGTAATATGATCTATCTATCTATGTAGCCTATCTTTGTATAAACACACACACACACATATCTATCTATCTATCTCGTTCAACACAACAGGTAGCAATCTAATAACGCTAGTCTTGAGCAATGTTTTAGATATATATTAATATATTAGAGTTGTTAAATCATGACGTGTGCAGTGATTTGAGATTCCGTATCTAGACTTTAGTGTGGATGATCAGTCATCATCTAAATCAAGAATCATCTAGCTATTCATGACCTGGTGGGGAGGGGGAAAAACTTTTTGCTTTGAGTTTCATATAAGAGACAAATAATAATACATATCACACCATATGGAAAAGCAGATGCATTACATACCTGTGGGAAAGGTGAGCCAAGACGAAGTGACGTTAATTCACTGCGGATACACTGTTTCAACAGCAGCTCCAGCAAATCAGTGCCAATGATTATTTACAACTTTACATCGTACAAACGCAGCATTTCCGAGGTTATTAAGCTAAATACACGATGTGTTCATTCACCATTGTTATTAACAGATCGCGTGTCGGCTTAATTTTATGGCTACGTAGCGCAAATTTGACTCTGTCGCGCTTATTCTGCGAGCATTAACCCAGCTGCTGGAGAAGTCTCCACCCACAGCTATGACCGAGCTCAGACGAGAAAAGCTCGCGAGATCTTATCGCCGCTAATCAGTCTGACGTTTACATTCATGTTATCGCGAGAGCTTTTCAACACAATTGAAAGAAACGCATATGAGAACGCAATGAAACACAAATAGCCTAATAGTAAATTCATGCTCTTGTTTATGTACTTAGTCAGGTAACTTAAGAAAAGATTACGGCATATATATGTGCTGATTAACTTAAACTTTAAACTGAACATTAAACTTTAAATTTGCGTCAGTATAACTAAAAATGTAACTTTAAAGATGAAGATTGCATGTTTGAGTATATTGGCTATAAAGTGATTTTGAATGAATACTATGCAATTTAACTCTCGGGTGTGACGGGAACACACGGCTACTGGTAAAAAAAAAATTATAGCCTGAATGCACTGTAAGTCGCTTGGATAAAAGCGTCTGCTAAATGCATAAATGTAATGTAATGACTGTAATTTACAGAAATTCGTTTTATCAACCAGCTAATCAAAATAATAATATACATATAGCCTACATTCCAGAATACATCAGGGATTGTGCTATAGTCTATAACTCATATACATCTTTGTCGTATGAACGAAAATAACAATTGTATGACCTGACCAGGCTACTGATGTTCTTTTAATGACCTAACTGAGAAATTACTTAAGCCAGGATTTAAGAGTCGTTTTGAAAATGATTAATTTGTCTCTCAAAGGCTCGATGAATTATTTTTGTACAGTCTCGTTGATTCTAAGCGGTAGCACAACACCCTCTAGAGCCCATTTGAGGGGCAACAATATATTAAAATGCGTTCAGAGAAGATCAGGACGGCTTACCAATAAAATAGTCTATATCTTTTAATCATTAACGTGATTTCTCAATGCCTATGTGTGTCATAATATGCTATGCGTCTATCTCACTCTTTTAATTAGCATTTCTTCTGTGGTGACCCGTGACAATGAAGAGCTCTTTAAATACAAAGAGTACCACTAGTGGCCCGTAGATGGCAGTAGATAGCTTTAAAAGCCATTTATGCTGTAGTGGAATGTGAAAATAAATTCTGAATTTAAAGGGGTCATATGATGCGATTTAAATTTTTCCTTTCTCTTTGAATTGTTACAAGTTCTTGGTGCATAAAGAAGATCTGTAAAGTTGCAAAGACTAAAGTCTCAAATCCAAAGAGATATTCTTTATAAAAGTTAAGAGTCAACCAAGCCAACCTAAAACGGCTCGTTCTAACACGCCCCCACATGTCTACATCACGATGTGGGAAGGTTTGCATAACACCGACCAAATGTTCACGCAAAGAAAGAAGGTGTAACTTTTATTCTCGCTGTAGTATTGTTGCTGCCGTCATGTCGTGAAGGCGCTGTGTGTTTCGTTATGAAAGCGAAACTACTTTGTTTGGCCTTCCAAAAGAGGACGATATCCGCTTCGTCATGCCTGGAGCTGATCCGTGCTGGTCGCTGAGGAAATACATCAACTTCACGCAGTGGATCGGCGGATCGGCTTTCACCATGGACGAACCGGAGTCCAGCCCGGGGTCGTCACCTGTGGTTGCCGCAAGCCCGTCGGCCGCGCCGTTTTCAAGCCCACCTGCCTCCTCTCACTCTAGCCCGCCGTGTGTTTCGTTGTGAAAGCGAAACTACTTTGTTTGGCCTTCCAAAAGAGGACACAACTAGAAATCAGTGGTTAAGTTGTATTTACAACACTGTTCCAGAACAGTTCAACCCAAATATTCAGATGTGTGCAGCACATTTTATGGAGGACTGTTTCCTGATCCTGGAAGAGTAGACTACAATGCTCTGACTCAATTCTGACTCACAGACTGTAAGTACGTTTTCATTTAAAGGATTTGCCACTGATGATTCAAACGCAAGTTTTGGGCAGTG